GGGGTTGTGTCTGCAACCCAGGTACATGCTCTTGACCGGAATCGAACCTGGGACCCTTTAGTCCACAGGCCGAAACTCTATCCACTGAGCCAAACCGGTTTTGGCTTGAAAATAATTTTATGGTTGGGTCACAACATGAGGAACTGTATTTAAAGGGCCAGAAGGTTGAGAACCACTACTATAGAGTCTTCTAAGATTTTTATGGTTCCCCATCTTACGTTTAAGTCCTTATCCATTTTGAATTTATTTTTGTGTATGTTGTAAGGTGGTTTCATTTTTTTACAAGTATCTGTCGAATTTTCCCAACATCATTTATTGAAGAGACTGTCTTGACTCCATTGTATGCTCTTGCTTCCTTTCTCAAATATTAATTGAGCATAATCACTTGGGTTGATCTCTAGGTTCTCTGTTCTGTTGCAATGGTCTATATGTCTGTTCTTGTGCCAGTACCAGGCAGTCTTGGGGACAGTGGCTTTGTAATATAGCTTGATATATGGTATTGTGATCCCTCCAACATTGTTCTTCTTTCTCAATATTGCTGCAGCTAATCGGGGTCTTTTTTTAACCCAGATGAATTTTTGGAGAGCTTGTTCTAGGTCTGTGAAATATGCTGTTGGTATTTTAATGGGGATTTCATTGAATCTATAGATTGCTTTGGGTAGTATGGACATTTTGACTTTCTTCTTCCCCAGATCATGGATGTTTTCTGACATTATTTCTTCAAATAGGTTTTCTAACCCTTGTTCCTCTTCCTGTCATTCTGTCACCCCTATTATTCGTATGTTGCTTTGTTTCATGTTGTCCCAAAGCTCCCTGAGGCTCTCCTCATGTTTTGAAATTTTTTTCTTTAATTGCAACTCATTTTGTGTGTGTTTTGCTTCCCTGTTTTCTAATTCATTAATTTGGTCCTCCACTTCTCCTATTCTACTGTTGAAACTTTCCATGGTGTTTTTTATTGCAGCTATATCACTCTTTATTTCTTCTCAATTCTTAAGTTGTTGATTTTTTTCATCCATCTGGTTTATGAACTGTATGACACTTATTCTGAATTCTTTTTCTGACATTATGCATGCCTCTGTCTCACTTAGCTGCTTTTCTTGCAATTCTTCCTTTTCTTTCCTCTGGGGGTCTCCTTGTCTCCCTATTTTTTTCTCTCACCACAGGATCTAGGTGTTGAGTCATGCTAGGGCTGCTCCTCAGGCGGTTGTGGCAGCAGCTGCTCCTCAGTTGGTGGTGGCTCCTCTGGTGGGCTATGCTTGCAGCAGTGATTGCTCCTCTGGCTGGTGAGGGTGGGATGCTTACGAGGCTGTTGTTCCTCAGACGTGGTCGGGTGCTTGCACAGCTCCTGCTCCTTGGATGGAGGCAGTCTCTGCATGGCTGCCACTCCTCAGACAGGGATGGGCTGCACACATGGCTGGTGCTCCTTGGGCAGGAGCAGCCTGCTCACAAGGCTGCTGCTCCTCAGATGGGAGTAGGCTGCTCATGTGGCTGCTGCTCCTCAGATGGGTGTGGGTTGTGCAGGGCTGCTGTTCCTCAGACGGGGGCAGGTCAGGTGAAGCTGCTGCTCCTCAGACTGTGGCGGGCTTCTCATGGGGTTGCTGCTTCTCGGATTGGGGCAGGCTGCTCACTAGACTGCTGCTCACATAGTTGCAGTGCCCTGGGCTTAAGCATTGAGCCAGCCAGAGGGGAGAGTTCAGTATAGAGGAAGTATAAAGAGGATGAGTGGATAAGAAGAAAGAGAAAGATAAGAAAAAAAATAATAATGAATTTTAAAAATAGGATTTGGATGAAAGAATACTGCGAAAAGAAATAGAAAATAAAGAAACAAAGGAAAATAAAGAAAAAAAGAGATAACAAAATATTAATAAAATAAAAATGCAAAAGTGGAGTGTCGTTCCTTTCCACCAAGTTTTATTTCCCCATGAGGACTGCTTTAAGGTCCCATTCTTCTCTACTGTCTTCTCTTCTCAGTTTCCTGTTGCTGGTACTTAAGGGTTCTCTTTAGGCCAGTCCCTGTTGGGTCTCAGGGACTATTCAGATTTTTTTGGTATCCTTTGTACCACTCAGGGTGTAGTCTGGGTATGGGTGTATTGGTTGCCTGGAGACTGCAGGGAGGGGCTATCTCTTCAGGAGAAAATGGCTGCCCTAGGTCCGGCATGTCAGGTATGACTCAGCACCAGACTCGTGGCCACCTCTCCTCAACCCTCTCCTCTCACTAGTCTCTCCCCAGACTTCACAACTCTGCACCTCCAGCTGCACCCCAGTCAAAGGTGTTTGTATTTGAAAGGTCCTATGAACTATGTTTAGTGAATAAAAGCAAAGACCAAAAAGAGAGGAAAGAGCTGCTCCACTGTGAGCATCTCTTCCCCCGGTATGGCGTGGCTTGGGCAGCCATCCAGGTTGCTCCCTCTGGGCTCAATCTCTCATGACTGTGGACCCAGATCTAGAATTTCCTGCTGCCAGCAGCACTGTGGACCTCCTTTTCAGTCAGACGCTATGCCTGTCCCAAGGGGCGTGGCCTCAGTGCCGTGTGGCTTCCATCTGACCCTCTGGGCTTGGAGGTCTTGCAATTCTCTCCAGACCAGATCCCTGATTTTACCTTTCTCCAGGCATCCTCTGCCCTTCCTGGCTGTGGATTGTCTCAGCAGCTGTGTCTATTTTGCCAATTTGGGGTGAATGTTATTTGGTTTAGTTGCTCATCCCATCTGCTCCAGGATAAGGCTCAGGACACGTCCGCCTATTCTGCAGCCATTTTCCAGCACTTACTCTTTGCTAATTTTTTGTTTAGAGGATGTATGCAATGGTATCAGTAGGGTATTAAAGTCACCTACTATGACTGTATTGCTGTCTATTTCTCCCTTGATATCTTCCAGAAGTTTTTTATGTATTTGGGTGCTCTAATATTGGGTGCATATATGTTTACTAGAGTTATATACTGTTGTTGGATCGATCTCTTTTATGTTTACTAGTGATATCCTCTTGTTGAATTGCTCCCTTTAGTATTATGAAATGGTCCTCCTTATCTCTTGTTATGGCCTTTACTTTGAGGTCTATTTTGTCAGATATAAGTATTGCTACACCAGCTTTTTTCTCATTTCCATTTGCCTGAAAAAAAATTTTCCATCCCTTCACTATCAGTCTGTGTAAATCCTTTGTTCTGAGGTGGGTTTCT